CATCGTGTCACGGTGCATTCGTGCATCAGTACACCGAAGAAATACATACATATTGTTGCGGACGACTATTGTAGACTGTGTTCGTGTAGTCTTCGAGTTTGTGGACAGTTAAAGTCGTGTGTGAATTTATTCAAGCCAGGAAAAGCAGGAGAGATAACTTATGGAAATCGTCTTTCCAATTTGATCCAGTGCGACGTTGTGAAAGGAGCGACTCTGTCGTCTCATCTATGTCTAGTTTGTAAGAGAAAGATTGATAGCGCAGAAAAATCCGCCAATAATGTAAAACAGTGGCGTGAAATTGTCAGTCATTCTAATATCTCCCAACCTGTGAACGAAAGGGTTAAGCGTGCTGCCTTGAAATCGCCTGCCAAAACTAAAATGGCGCGTGTCACGTGATTTTGTTTACTAAAGATAGCGTGGGCGTTTGATTGACACTCAACTCATTAGTATTCCACCAATCACAGCTACATCTACTTACTGGATGTGCGCAGTCAAATTGTATAGGAGACAAGCTGGAGTCTCGTGTGGCGATAGCGATAACACCGGGACGAATGGTCTGGGGTAGTTAGACTGCGATGGATCTGAACCCTGATCAAGTGTACTATGTCAGCTGATCTGTTCAGTTTTCAACTGTATTAAAAAGAACAATGTTGTCCATATATCAACTATCAAACAGAAAAAGTTCAAAATCAGAATATGTATGCACGATTTCGCTTGTTCACTTGGACAGACACGATGTGAAGACAGTACAGTACATTCACATGCAAAACAGTTTTGTTTTTCATGTTTGTTGGAAAAACATCCCAATATTCAGTGAGAACCAATTCAGCACAGGATTGGGAGGATAATTATTCGAGTTCTGATACTTCCAAGAACAGCGCCCTCACGTCCAGAATTGAAGCTAGCTCCAGGATCCATTTGTGTAAGTTGACATTTTCCAGGATGTCACATCCTTTCATCTCTGGATGGGATTGTGGGTAATATGTATCATCCTGTAAATAATGAGAGAATAATTGGAATCCAGATGTAACATCATAAAGAAGAAGAAAATAATCAAAACATAAGCAAACCTCATCAAAGGTTTTCCTAAAGTCATATCTGTAAATCTCAGCCAGTGACCTTAGCCCCCCATTTCTAACGTACCCAAGTACTGTAAAATTACTAATTTTCACTGGGTTTAAATTTCGCTGATTTACCATTTCAGGCATATTCAGTGGGTTTTAAATTCACGGTTTTATCATTTAGATAATGTGTTCTATGCTCCATTTTACATACCGTACTCGACCGCGTTAGCGCCCATGCCCTGGCAAGCGCCCACCCCCCACTTTTGCGCAATTTTTATATTTGGGGTCACATTCGGCAAAGCGCCCACCCCTTCAAAATGCAACTAATTTAAAACTTGGTCTTGCGTAACGAATATTGGTAATCGTTTTTATATGATACAGCGTGGATATCGGCCGCTGTGAACATGTTGTGAATGCGTAGAACACGGTAACCGTGCGTAAACTACGCTTCGACAATGACCTGTTAATACAAGTAAAATGCG